GTCTTTAAAATCATCAATTTTCTCAATAACTATACACGATACAATTATAAATGAGCGCCAAATTAAAGCTTAATGTTTACCTTTCCAACGTGTTTTCTATCATATTTGTAAGCAGTGCGAGTTTCTTGTAATTTTTGAAATTAGTGTCTTTACAAATCATCAATTTTCTCAATAACTATACACGACACAATTATAAATGAGAGCGCAAATTAAAGCTTAATGTTTACACTTTCCAACGTGCTTTCTATCATATTTGTAACCAGTGCGAGTTTCTTGTAATTTTTGAAAATTGAGTGTCTTTACAAATCATCAATTTTCTCAATAACTATACTTATATAGATCGAAATTAAACAAATTATTTTAAATCATATTTGTAACCAGTGCGAGTTTCTTGTAATTTTTGAAAATTTAGTGTCTTTACAAATCATCAATTTTCTCAATAACTATACACGATACAATTATAAATGAGAGCGCAAATTAAAGCTTAATGTTTGGCTTTCCAACGTGCCCTCTACAAATCATCAATTTTCTCTATTACCAATGCAGTTTTGAGATTATAATTAAAGAGTGTCTTTACAAATCATCAATTTTCTCAATAACTATACACGACTACAATTATAAATGAGACGCGCAAATTAAAGCTTAATGTTTAGACTTTCCAACGTGCTTCCTCTTCACAAATCATCAATTTTCTCAATAACTATACACGATGCAATTATAAATGAGCGCTCAAATTAAAGTTTAATGTTTACACTTTCCAACGTGCTTCCTATCATATATGTAAGCAGTGTCAATTTCTTGTAATTTTTGAAAATTGAGTGTCTTTACAAATCATCAATTTCCAACATGCTATCTGTCATTATGGAATTCCCGGGTTCACTAGATCAACTGAAAATTGCTAATTATAATTACAGCATTAACTAAATGTTTACGATCCGAACATATTAATAGATTGAATTCCATTCTTGAATTAATATCATATTTTCATAGTGTTAAATTATTTGTTGATAAAATGTCCATCAATTAAGTCAATAATATCTCAATCTTAGAACGTCTATTAAGAATACTGATTGAAGGGAAACCCAAGATCTTGAGAATTCCCAACGATATCTTATTTAAAATTATTCTTTAATTTCAAAACACATTTGCAGACAAGAATTATTTTTTATAAATTCATAAATTTACTTGTGTTTTATGTTGTAGCTTTGCATGTTTTTAGGTATATAAGTAACAGTAATATGAATCAAAAGTGTAGATATTTTTTTTGAGTTTGAAGGTGTTAATCAGTGTTAATGATTAATGGTACAGCTACCTCTGTGAGTGCAAAGTGAAAATATTGAACATGTGTACGAGCGGTTGTCAAAGTGGAATTTAACCTAGAAAAATCGGCAAACAAGTGATAACAAGTGATAAATGAATGTTGGTGTGGGTTAGCAGTGGAATTGCTAAAAGATTTTTCAGAAGAATGTCGTCGTTCGTGCAGAATTTGAACCCGATCACCGGTGAAAACGACTGGATCGTGCAGAACGACCACTATGATTACCATCAGGAGATAGCCAGAGCCGCTTTCGCTGATATGTTGCATGACACAGAGAGGAATGAGATGTACGAGATGGGCCTGAAGGTTGCCATCGAGCACATGCATAAGCAGGGCAAGAAGGCCAATGTGTTGGACATTGGTACGGGCACAGGACTGCTGTCGATGATGGCTGTGAGACACGGGGCTGACAGTATAGTAGCCTGCGAAGCTTTCAAACCGATGAGTGCGTGCGCGAAAGAGATCATAAAGCTGAATGGCTTTGAGAGCCGCATCAAAGTGATTGACAAGAAGTCAACTGAGCTGACGGTAGGACAAGATTGTGATATGGATTGCAGAGCTAATATATTGGTTACAGAAGTCTTTGATACTGAACTGATCGGTGAAGGCGCATTGAGCACCTTCAAGCATGCTCACGATGAGCTGCTGGAGAAAGATTGCATAGTTGTCCCTCACAGTGGGACTGTGTACGCACAAGTGATTGAGAGCCCTTTGGTCAGGAACTGGAACATCCTGAAGGACGTTTTCGATGACGATGGGAAACTTCTGGTGAAGGTCCCGGATTCGATGAAGAGATGCAAGGGAACGATCAGCTTGCACGATCTACAGTTGAGCGAGGTGAAGCTGCACGAGTTCGCGCAGCTGGTCGAACCGGTGAAGGTGCTGCGCTTCGATTTCTCCGGTAAAACGCCGTTCGTATTCGACAGATCGACGATCAACACGGCGAAGGCGCGGAAAGATGGTAAAGCTCAGGCGGTGTTCATGTGGTGGGATCTGAACATGGACATCGATAACAAGATAACATTGTCGTGCGCTCCCTATTGGGCTCATCCGCTTTATAAGGAGGAACTGCCTTGGAGGGATCACTGGATGCAGGCTGTCTATTATCTACCCAAAGAGTTGGACGTGAAGAAGGACTCGGAGGTGCATCTGGTTTCCTGTCACGACGAGTATTCGCTCTGGTTCAACCTGAAGAACGATTTGAATATGTCGCAGGAGGATTACGCGTCTCCGAACTGCGATTGCGGTGTGCACATAGCGTACTCCAGGACTAGGATAGGTCAGATGAACGATGGGACCAGGGTGAAGAAGTACTTGAGCGTCATCGACGACTACGTTGGAGAGGACTCCGTGGTTCTGCTGAACGGGCACGGATTCTTATCCGGTTTGGCTGCGGCGAAGAGAGCCAAGAAGGTGTACGTCTTGGAGAGTAACAGCCTTTCGAAGAGGGTCCTCAGAACCATAGTCGCGGAGAACAAATTTAGCAACGTCGAGTTCATCGATGACGTGAAGAAGTTCAGTCCGAGCGAGAAGATTGACGTGGTGCTGGGCGAGCCGTACTTCGTGAGCAGCATTTTGCCTTGGGACAATCTCCTATACGTGCATTCGCTCGATGCTCTGGGAATGTGGTTTTCCGGCGACGTTAAGGTTTTCCCCGGCAGAGCGAAAGTGATGGGACTTCCCATGCGATTCAAAGATCTGCATAAAATACGGGCGCCGTTGAGGACATGCCAAGAGTTCGAGATGAAGCCCTTCGATAAATTAATTGAGGTAAACACTAAAACTCAATTTATAATCCTCAACTATTCTATTATTCCTATTGGATTTTGACCAAAAAAAAAGTTAATTGATTAAAAATAATCAACATCTTTCTAAACTAATTATAATAAGATTGTGTAAATTGATTTAAACTAAAAATAGACTAAGCAATTGAAAGGTATTTAACACAAATGCATAAATGAATATTAAGTTTGTTTATATGGGAATAATTCGAGTTGAACTGGAAATCGTGCAGTGGGTTTTTCCAAAATTTAGTGTCTTTATAAATCATCAATTTTCTCAATAACTATACACGATACAATTATAAATGAGCGCGCAAATTAAAGCTTAATGTTTAGACTTTCCAACGTGCTTTCTATCATATTTGTAACAGTGTCATTTCTTGTAATTTTTGAAAATTTAGTGTCTTTACAAATCATCAATTTTCTCAATAACTATACACGATACAATTATAAATGAGGCTCAAATTAAAGCTTAATGTTTAGACTTTCAACGTGCTTTTCTATCATATTTGTAACCAGTGCGAGTTTCTTGTAATTTTTGAAAATTGAGTGTCTTTACAAATCATCAATTTTCTCAATAACTATACACGACACAATTATAAATGAGAGCGCAAATTAAAGCTTAATGTTTAGACTTTCCAACGTGCTTTTCTATCATATTTGTAACCAGTGCGGTTTCTTGTAATTTTTGAAATTAGTGTCTTTACAAATCATCAATTTTCTCAATAACTATACACGACACAATTATAAATGAGACGCAAATTAAAGTAAATGTTTAGACTTTCAAATGCTTTATCATATTTGTAAGTAACCAGTGCGAGTTTCTTGTAATTTTGAAAATGAGTGTCTTTACAAATCATCAATTTTCTCAATAACTATACACGAACAATTATAAATGAGAGCGCAAATTAAAGCTTAATGTTTACACTTTCCAACGTTCTTTCTATCATATTTGTAACTATTGCGAGTTTCTTGTAATTTTTGCAAATTCAGTGTCTTTACAAATCATCAATTTTCTCAATAACTATACACGATACTATTATAAATGAGAGCGCAAATTAAAACTAAAT